TAAACAATTGGAGCTGTGTTCCTTTTTTTCAGTATGGGCATTCATATGGATGCGACTGAAGTTTGATGATGACAAGGCACATAAAATTAGGGTTAGAATGAACTCATCATTATGATCATCATCCTTATCATCATCATCACCACCACCATCATCATCATCATCTCATCCTTCTCTTACTTTACTCAAATTCAGTCAGAACTTACAGCTCCTTGTGACAGTATCTCAATTCATTAGGATGGCATGAACTTTCACCTTGCTACCTGTATCAAGTAAAAAGTAAAACTTTAAATAACCAACACCTCACTTTAGTTTATTCTCAAAATTCCTCATATTGTTTCAAAGTCATATGAAGTTAGGAAACTAGCAAAAAACTGCTAAAACATCAAATATATAAACAATTCTTAATGTTTGCTTAAGAAAATCGGTGGGTTTAAAAAAAAAATGTCAAATTTCAAATGATTGTTTCTTTTCTTCCTGTACTGAATTCTTAGTTTTGCTGTAAGTAACATAATTAAACGCAAATCACAAAGAAGTTTAATGAAATAAGGCATCATTGTCAAATTATATAATTTAACATTCTTCCCAAACTATTTTTAAATGGATAAATAAATGAGTAAATTATTACAATAATAATAACCAATTACTATTTATCTGGGCATAACTTATGTGTCATCATACAAAAATTGTCTCAATATATACCAGGTCTACAAAGTCAGGCTATTTTGGAAGAGGACTTGCCTCTGTTAGAAGAACAATAATCGTCATCCCCTGAATTTGCATGAATGAAGGTAAAGAGTGGTAGACAAAACAAAATGCCTGCAAAATATATGGGTTTTTCTGAACATCAGTTTCTGAGAATATCTTCCAAATCCAGACATTAAGGGATGGATGTCTTGAGACTCGCATCCCAGACAAACACAGTTTATACATATTAATAATTTTGGTTGGAATTTCAAGGGTGTTATTATTTTTCAAAATCCTTTGTATAGACCCAAAGTATACTTCAACCCAAGTTTAAGGTCTACTATTAAGGATAATCAAGATTGACTGTTGGTTACTTTTTTCAGAATGAAGAAGTGGGAAGGATTCATGATAAGGCAAGGAATAGTCTCTGCTTCCATTAAGTTTCTTCTTTTAGGGAACCCAGCTGCATCATCATCTCTTTGTTATAACTGCATTTATTGTTAGAAAAATTCCTCAGCAATAACAAGTATATGTAGATGGAAATTCTAAACTATATAACATTGTTTCACATTTATTAATCAACTATGTCAATAGTGGGACTAACGACCAAGGAAGATCTGGTCAGAGACAGTAAGGAATTTTCCTCTTCCATGTCTGTATACTCTCTTAATTCCATTCAGTCATTTCACTTGTACAATGCCGATGCTATATTTTGAATTTCAGTAAACTTTTTTCTGGGACTGGTGATATAAACTGAAGCTAATAAAAAAGTAAGAAATTAACCACAAAACTAAACACACACACACACACACACACACACACACACACACACCTTAGGAAAAGGAGAACTAGGGTATCATTCCAGAATCTGAAAATAATTCACAAATTTACAAATCAATGTTTTCCTAGAAATGGTAATCTCAATTTACATAAATGATTTCCGAAAAGTTGACTATTCTAGGATAAACAAAATTTATTATCAGTGTAGGGGTTGGCTCTCAGTTAATATTTGCTCTTGTTATAAAATGCTAGGTAATAATGAAATTTGGACGAAATCAGCCTCGATATTTTTAAGAGTAAATCGATAGGGTCCAAATACATATATGATGAAGAAAGTCATCATCACAAAATCATTTACTGTTTGAACAAGCAGGTGTTTAGCTATAGAAATATTGTAGATGCAGCTATCTTAACTCATCATGTCTTGGATTTATTTCATAGAATTGATCTAAATCTAAATCAGCTGGCTGCACAAGATACCAATATCTTCTCTACCCTTCGGAGGCCTGAGGAATGGAGTACAAATTAAATAATCAAAGATTTGAGCACCAGAATAAAGGGTAGGATGCTCTTAAGCAGCAAGTATAGGTTACACTAAATAACAAGATGGACTTTTGAATCTATAATGTCATTTAGCGCCTGAGCGGCAATTGATGAAGAACAAGGCAATACCAAATATCACACATGTCCAAGTCTGGAAGTCCATTCTCTCCCCCAGCTTGGCTAACATAGTCACACTTTCAACTGTTTTTACAACTACAGTATTCTTAACCCCACAGCCCCCACCAAAAAAAGAGAAGGATGAAACCTAAGCACTAGGGGAAATACATTTTTTCTCTTTTTATTGTGAGTTCTAACAGAACTTTCGTTAAACATAGAGCACATGAACACATGACAGTTCCCTTCATTTGTTCTCACATAGAGCTGATAGAGGAATACTTGGGAGGAATGTCTAAAGCCATAAATAGCTTCTTTTGCATTTATTTCATTTTTAATATGACAAAGCATTAGAGGAAAAATGTTTCTTAAGTTGTGAGAATATCAAATATTACCCATCAATCCCTGAATCATGCTATTCGAAGTGCTTAAATCTACACTAAAAATAGAACAAAAAATGTACTCCCAATGCAGGTAAATGAACACCTATGGATGCCTAAAATATGACTGTGGTCTGATTACTTCCTCTACATTTATTCCACACTTCCATCGTGCACTTAAAATATATATTTTTTAAAAAACAAAGAAATAAATCAGGCCATTGCCATGTTTACAGTTTTCTGAGCACTGGGGGAGTTTGGAATTCAGTCCAATGAAGTTCACCGCCACCAGTCCCTGACAGGTGTCCATAGTACAAAGAAAACAATGGCCTTCTCAGATTCTGAAAATAACTCAATGTGCAAAGCTGACCTCAAAGTTTTATGTGTCCTTGCAGCTTCAGTTCTGGTTTGTGAAAATGTGACACAGATCCAAGGAGAGCACGGGAATAAAGAACAGATTGTAGAGAAGGACCCAGGCGAGTTGTCAGGGAAATAAACATTTTTAAGCAAATAAAAATCAACACACATCCCAAGGATCCTTTACCTTGTCACACAGATACTGAGACCTTCACATTGTTTCAAAATGCTTATATGCCTCTCTCATACATTTCCAATTCAATCTTACCCTCCTCAGTGAACTCTATGGCAGTTTACACGCGTGTGTGTGTGTGTGTGTGTGTGTGTGTGTGTGGCCAACGCACACCTTAGTATTTTGATCAAAACTGTAGAATTGTTTTTCTCATTATATGACGGTAAGAATAAACCAAACATACAATAGTTACTACACGAGCCCACAGATGATGACTGGGATGGAAGTTCCTACAGTGAATCACTAAATTAATGTATAAGTTCTATTATCAGTGTTTTTCTCACATTTTTTTTCTTTTTTAACTAAAAGCTACATAAGTAATATTTCCTTTGAACAATTCTGCCCTCTGCAGAATCCTTTGTGATTGAATTTGCATCATTATTCACATGAATATGAATTAGCTGCTTATGTCATTGACTTCAAACATAAAGCTAAATGGTAAGGGATGAATTTCCTGGGAGCATCAGCTGTTTTCTGAAAGACAGAATTATATAGTTAAAACAAAACAATTTCTTTATACAGCAAAATTATTTTAAACACTTTCTGATCTAATTTTGAAACTATTTAAGTAAATAATGCTTATTTTGAAAATACTGATCTCTGTTGGTATTCATGTTGACTTTCTGAGTTCTTAAACACCTTGATATTTATAAATGTTGCTTAATGTTCACAAACTGAAACTACTTAATTCTCAATGTAGTGTTGAAAATTAAATACAAGCGAGTTAACATTTAAATACAAGGGGACCCCACAATAAGTTTCACAGATTTTCTCTGACTCTTTAGAAAATAACATTTTGTATAATACAAGGTGACAAAACATATTTGATGACACATCCTGTCCTTCCCTTTGGTTTGGAAGCCTTCAATGTAAATTTCATTTTAACTTGCGTTGATTCACCCTTTTGAGATAACTTGCCTGGCATTTGCACATAATCTCATTTGCAGAAAAATTATAGAGGGAAAAGAGGAAGTAGAATATTAAACAAAAACAGTCACAAACACATTCATGCCTTTCCAGGAAGTGATCAAATATAGGGCTTATTTTTTTTGTTTTGTTTTGTTTTTTTGTTTGTTTTTTTGTTTTTTGTTTTGTTTTTTTTATATATTTATATTATTTATATATATATATAAGGGTACATCAACTCATTTAAAAAACGGAAACAACACTCTCCCCATTTTCATGCCCTTGATCTTCTCTTCTTAGCACTCTGTAGTGGTCACTGTCAAGTGACTAACACACCTTTGGGTCTAGAGTGTATTCTGAAGAGCAATGAATCAAATGTTAAGACAGTTAGACCCACCCCCACCCCTCCGCAGAGTTTACACATCATGCCGCCATTAGAAAGGTAGAGGTGGGGAATGAGGCGGGACAAGGAAGAGATTCAGGGCTCTGATTGGCGGGGCCCTCTTATGAATGAGTGTTCTTCTCATCTTTTAGTTTTCCTCCCAAATGGCAATGCTGGCATTTGTCGCACTGCTCTCTGAAGGCCGATGTGGCCCAGTTGATCCTAGGCAGAACCCGAGAGAGGATCCGGTGCTCCTTGTCCCATTGGATAGATTTGTCCAAGCACCCCAAGGAAATGTTAAAAGCAAACTAGAATTTTAAAAAAAGGAAATAAAAACCCATTCTAAAACTAAACTAATGAAGCAAAAAAGGGTTTTCTATCTATACATCAGTCTCTTCTTTAAAAAAAAATGTAAATTTACAAATTCCAATGACATATAAAACAAAGTCAAAAAATGTAATGGTAAGAGACATGATAAAACAGGAAGACACTGATGCTACAAAGAAATTCCAAAAAACATATGTACAAGACCCTGTTTTTCCTCGTGTTCTAGAGATTGTAATGCATGTGTTTTTGTTTTTGCTTTTGTTTGTTTGTTTGTTTGTTTATTTGTTTAACAGCAGCAGTCGAGGATTTAGTTCCAGGCACTGGACTGCAGATTCCACTCAAGCTCCCAGGGATGGGATGTCCCTTGCTTTTCTGTCACCAAATCACACTGGATATACTGGTCTCCCTTGGCAACAACGGCAGGATGGCACTGTTTGTGTGGGCCTCGTCTGGATTCTGCTCCCTGTTTGATTTTGTCTGTGGCCGCTGCCCGTTGATGAGTGTCATAGGGATGTTACAGTAGGTATGCTGATTTCCTATGGAGGTAAGAGGCAGGGTGCCAGTAGGAGGTACGTCGTACTCATAGCTTCGGTAGTAGTGTTTCTGACGCATTTGTGAATGGTACGTGTTGTGAAAGGTAGAACGGAGATCTGGATGGGCAGTGGCTAGAGCAGTGGAGGTGGCCGCAGCCATGGAAATGGCCGAAACAGTCTGCAGCTCCCCAAAAGGCCCCTGCTCACTGACATCTAAAGCCTGCTCGTGGGTAATGGGTTCTATCCTCTTAAAAGGCATTTCATACTGCAAACGTTTCCAGAACTTAGAGTTCAACTTGTTGCATTTTGGTCCATGCCATTTAATTACCGTCAGGAGCTTGATGGTGTGCTTGAGGGCCTCCACCTCCTGGTAGTTCATAATTCCTCGTAGTTCACTGCATTCGATCAGTATCACTTTAATTTCTCCAGTCACAAGCATATTTCGAAGTCTGGTCTCCAGCTCAAAGATACTCCAGCCCCTTCTAACGACGTAATTTGGGGTCATGACAATAATGAGCCGCTTGCTTTGATCTACACATCTTGCCACATCTTCAATGTATGCTATAAAAGTGAAAAGTGCATCAGAATGAGTGATTAGAACATTTGGTCCAGAAAGCCCCAGGAGATTATATTCCAGACATTAAATGAGAATTGTTGTTTGTTGGGTAACACCATGAGAAGATGAAAATAGCCAATTATCACTATACTATATAGAGTTTGAGCCTTGCTTTTCCTAATGTTAGAAATGTTTTCTAGGTACAAATCTCTCATTTGGTTTCTTTAAATGTCAAGACTCATAAAATGAGATGCCTTATAGAATAATAATAATGGAGTATTTTCTCTGAGCTATCAAAAATTAAATTTTATATGAACACACAAAGATATTTCTTTCTTAGGAAAGTGACAGATACAATATTTGAAGTAAAGAATTCTGTGCAAAAAGTGATGAATGCACAGACACTCACATGAATATGTACATTCTCAAATGAAAATATTAACTTACTTCCAGTTGGGATTAAATCTCTATCTGGTATAAACAACTTGTATCCATAATGCTTTTCAAGCATATCAGGAAGGATTTCAAGGGCAAAGCGTTCTTCTTCTCCAGTCTCTTGATTCCACTGATCAGGATCCACTTTGGTGTATGATAAGTATGCATCATAATCTTTATTGTCTGTCAAAAAATTACATAGTTGCAGTCATTATAAAGAAAAAAATGACATGAAAACATCCACTTTTTTTGGTAAACATCTCCAATTGTCCCATTTCTAGGATACCAAAAAAAGAAACCTTCACTAATTTTCATTAAGAGTATGATAATGTTGATCGGGTGCAGTGGCTCATACCTATAATCCCAGCACTTTGGGAGATCGAGGTTAGAGGATCGCCTGAGCCCAGGGGTTCGAGACCAGCCTGGGCAACTTGATGAGACTTCAAGAAAAATTAGCCAGGCATGGTGGCACATGCCTGTAGTTCCAGCTTGGAAGGCTGAGGTGGAAAGATCGCCTGAGACCAGCAGGTCGAGGCAGCAGTGGCTAGAAGCATGCCATTGCATTCCAGCCTGGCCGACAGAATGAGACTTCAAGTCCCTCCCCCAAAAAAGTGTTCTATAATGCCAAATATTCTAAAACTAGTTTGAAGGTATAAAGGGTCACATATTGATTCATGGTTGTTGTTGTTTTTGTGAAAGTAGAAGGAGAAAAATCAATGAAAAGAATAATGAAGTGCTGACTTTCACTATTTTTGATGCACAGATCAAAGAGAATCTTAACTGCTTATAAAAGTCTCATGTTTCTATAGTAATTTGCTCTTACTCTAAATCTTACATTCACCTAATCCAGCCTTTGGCGATTTAACACTGTTGAAAAAAATAAAAAATAGAAACTGCACCTAGCTTAACTGGGGAGGAATGATTATTGAATTATGTGTATTGTGCTAATTTTCTGTTGGGGAGAAAACAAAATCAAACTTGAAAAAATTAAATTTTTTACTGGAAGCCAGGTCTTGGATTTTTGGACTGAGGATGATATTAAATGAAATGACTATAGAAAAACATATTATTTATTGATCTCCACTTATCTTGCATATACAATATTGACAAATTATTTTTCATCATGCTAACAGAATATAAATAAATGACAGTACTAAAATCTGATTTCTCTCTCTACACTTCCCCCTTTTTACATGAGAACTCTTCAAATATATGAGGACTACTATCATGTGTTCTTTTTATCTTATTTTTTCTAACATAGCATCTCAAATTTTTCATTTGTTATTTCTAAGACTAAGAAATCATTTATCCCCTGAATAGTCTCTCTTTTGTCAATTTCTTTTTTTAGAATAAAAGATCAAGATTCACAATTCACTTAAATTCTAAATACTGTTAATAGGCTGATTCTACCAATATCAATATCGTTTATTCTCTCTTGTGCTTCCCTGATAATCGTGAATGTATTACTTAATTATTAGATCAAGTAGAATTGAAACACAAATTTCAGAATAAATTAAGCTTTGCATTAGGAATAGAATTTAAAAGCTTTGGGCTATAAAACATCAACATTCTTGTCTCTTGTTTTGTGTGGCTTTGCGATACTTCTTTTGACTTCAGGGACATGAGAGTTCACTTCCTGAGATTCACATATATGTGTTAATTCTAGTGACCTGGTAATTGTGAGCCATCTAGAAGTCATTCGATTGTCGATTATAACTTTTCAGAGCAAACACAGATAACTGTTACTTCATGTAAAGTTAGCATGGGTATGTAAGACGCTAAAAAGTAAACTACGGGCTCTTTGGAAGAAAACCTCTAGTCATGGAAGACTTTTTAAAAAGCAGATCTTATGGAAAAAAGTTTTAGAAAATAGTAATTATCCTAAGTTTGCCATATTATGGTATTGATCTTATTCTTCAATCATAAAATAGTTGTATATATTATAAACAAAATCCAATTTTCTCCAAAAATAATAATTATATTTGCTATTGCAAATCTATGCCCATAGGCCAGCAGACTGTCTATAATGGTAGCATTTGTTGATGTAAACACTTTAGTTCAGTAAGAAATCCTGGAAAATAGCATATAATAAAGCTAGTATATAATATCCTTTAATATTTAATTAAAATACTCATTCATCAGCTATTCACATGCATTACCTAAGAGATATTAAACTTTCTTTGTAATATTGGTCAGTAGCTTTCAATATAGTAGGAGATGCAGACAAGTCAATAGTCAATTTCTAGGAGATAAATGTGTAACTAAGAGCAGTACAGGAGTCACAGGCCAAAGGGAAGTTTCCTTCAGTCAGACTGTGGAATGTAGTATTATATTGTGCATATACTATTTTCTTTCTAGAAATATGTTCCCTTCCCTTCCAATTTGCTGCAAAACACTACAAAGTGTTAGAGCTCCTCTAAATTTGTGTAATAATTTGATCTTCATTCATTTCCCCCTTGTCTTCTCTAGGATTAAAGATATTTTAAAACCAGATGAACAGAAACAAAGCACATAGGAATCAGAAGGGATGCAAATAACTGGTCTACCCATACTGGTAAATTCCAGATGGATATCACCTTTGCTTATATGACATTCTCTGCCTATGGTTCCTCTGCCTCTTCCATCACTCCTCTCTTCTAATCCCCAAACATTGTCAATCTATCAGATGTTTTCTGTGGTTCACTTCATTTTTCTTTCTAACCCACTTTGCCTTAACAATTATCCTTTCTTCTATAAAATCAACAATCACTTCTGTCTAGATACCTCCTTAATTTTTTACATTAATTTTATTTTATTTTAGATTCAAAGGTACATGTGAAGATTTGTTGCATAGAAATATTGCATTATGGCAAGGTTTGGGATTCTGAAGATCCTCATTCCCCAGTGGTATGCCTGGCACCCGATGGGTGGATTTTCAACCTTTATTCTTCCTCTCTCCTTAATTTAGATGTCCAATCCTGTTCTATTTCTCCTGAATTACAGCAGTTCCTCACTCATACTGGATCCCTTAATTGGAATATTCAGCATGCACCTCACTCTTAACATGATTACAACATAACAGGCTTCCCATTCCAAGGTCTGTTCTTCACCATTTGTTTTGTTTTAATAGCATAACAATTTCACTTCTTTATTTAAACTTCAGATGCATGTTTCACTTATTGCTTTTCTTTTCTTTCTTTTTTTTTTTGAGTTGGAGTCTCACTCTGTCGCCCAGACTGGAGTGCAGTGGTCACTCCTGGTCACCGCAGCCTCGACCTGCTGGGCTCTGGCGATCCTTCCGCCTCAGCCTTCCGAGTAGCCGGAATTACAGGTGCGCGCTACCACGCCCGGCTGATTTTTTGATTTATTGTAGAGATGAGGTCTCGCTGCCCAGGCAGGTCTCGAACCCGCGGGCTCAGGCAATCCACTCACCTCAGCCTCCCAAAGGTGCGGGATTACAGGCTGAGCCACCGAGCCCGGTTTGTTTTTCTTTACTAATAATCTCATAACCATTTATTGATACTCGTCTATTGTATTCTATTTACATCTTAAGTCAAGCCCTTCCCATCTCTCAGCTATTATAATTATACTTTACTTAATCTTCCCTTTTCATTTTCTTCTCCTTCTGGACAACAGGTCATCAAATTTCCATTTCCAAACCTCACCACTAATGTTTTATGGTGGATTAAAAAAATATACATGGCTACCCATTATCTAAATAATCAGCTAAATCTGTAGTTTGCTTTCCTTGAAGTTGAGCTTGGTTTTTCTGAGTTGGAAGTAATTATCTCTTTTCCCATGTATTATATATTATTATGTTCATATATTATCTTCTCTCTTAAACTTAAGGAGCCTTGACTTAGATGTGTGACCAGGGCTTAGTAGATGCTCAAACATCTACTATGGAATAAATAAATGGCCTTTCATTTTGGCATCGCATGACTCACATCCTGGTTATGGGGAAGTTCTGGAAATTTTATCGAGACCTGGATTATCAGGAGAGATGACTTTGGAAATACAGACTCCATGCTGTTTAAGGAATTACTAAGAACTGTTGGATTGAAGTTTACCAGGTCTCCTTTGGAAGAGTCTTGCACTGTAGTTTCCCTGTGACTTGAGGGAAAACCTTATGGTCTATGTAAATGCCTCTAGGACAGTGGTTTTCAGAATTGAGCATGAACGACAGCTATTTGGAAGACTTGTTAAAATAAAGGCTACTAGGCTCCAATTCTAGTACTTCACATTCAGTAGGTGTAGCATAGGTCCTGAGAATTTTCATTTATAGCAAGTTCCCAGGAGATGCTGCTGGTGGTCCTGGGGTCACACTTTGAGCAACTCTGTTCTAGAACATGGTATAAGCAAGAAGAGATTTCAATGACATCAAGCAACTGCATTCAGTTGCCAAGCAATAGACCAGAGCATCATAAAACTAAACCTTGCCCCCTCAGCTCTATGATAAGTGCTCCTGATACTTAGAAAGCATATACTCCAAATAAAATAACTGAAAATCCACATTTTTATTAAAAAATTGTCTAGAATTGTATATAAAGTAACCATATTAACCTTAAATAACCGTTAGGAATTGGTAATATGACATGAGTCAGTTTCTATCTCTTTATGTCATCTGGATAAATTTACAGCATTTAAGCTAATATCTTCCAGTCATACAGGAGTTTTTTGCAAGAAAATTACCCTGGTAGAAAGCCTCTTCTAAGAATCTGCAGCAACATCTTCAAATCAATGGGATGCTTGATTGATATCCAATTTCTCTCTTTCCCCAGAGTCTGCCTCAGTGCAGTAATGAGTTAGGCATTTATTTACCACCAGAAGCAAATTCTCGATTTGAAAGTTGTCAGACTATAAACACGGTGCCAGATGCCATACTAAATTAAGCAATATTTTTGACTCAAAATCATATGGGTTCTAAGTTATCTTCTCTTTCCCCAATTACCAGCTGAATATGCATCATGAATAGTAACTCTTAGATTGTTTTGATAGTCACAAAAATGTACATTGACATATCTTAATGTGTATGATTTTCATGTGACTGGTGAAACATTGGAAAAGTTGACATTTTTATAACCATAAGAAAACAAAATTATAGGACAGGGTTATGATAATTTAAATTCAACTTTGGTTTATAAAGAGCTTAAAAGTAGTTATAGAGTGATGCAAGAGTATATTTCTTATTCTGAGCTTTCTGT